ATTTTTTTTCGGTCGTTAAAACTATTTTTTTGCTCAATATTAACGAGGGATAATGTTCGGCCGTCAAAATATAACACAACCGGTCATTAAATAATTATTAATTAATGAAAAAGTGAAAAAAGTGGCGCTAACTTTTCCCACTTTTTTTCCAACCCAGATTCTGCCAAATCTCCCACCCCCATCGCCACCCACACCCCCCAAAAAAAAGGAAAAAGCCCCAAACTTCGAATTAAACAGTTCAATCGTATAAACCCAATAAGCCCCAGACTTCTCTAACAGTTAGTAAACCTCGGTTTGAACGGAATTAGCAGAGCGAATTAGCGAACAAATTGAAGTTGCTCGTCACCTCCATTGATAACAACTGCTAATCTTTGAGCTTCTTCTCATCACGGTAAGGTTCAAAATTTTACCCTTTTCTATGTGAATTGAGTAATAATTTTGCTAGAAAAGGCATCTATTGAGCAATATCTGTTTTGAATGAGCAACTGCTATATCTCCAATCATGATTAAATCATCTTCTCTAACAGTTTATTCTGAATGTCAATTTCGTACTATCAGTTTCACTGAGTGCCAAGTATAACTGTCGAAATATCGGTCCTCCTAAAATCGAAGTTGATAATTTTTAGTTGTTGTATAACTATAGGGTTGTCATTAGGTTTAGTAGATTGTGCAGCAGATTGTGCTGGAACTGCACCAGTTCCTACTTGTACTCTATCTTGTGCTTGATCATCTGTAATATGTTGCGACTTCCCAGCTATTTCCTTTGCCTTAACACCTGCATCACTTGCACTATCCAAATCTTTCACACCTTCAACACCTTACCCCTGAATATGCACATCACTAGGTTTCAAACCTGTTGTTTTTTAACTTCAAGTGAAGTAGTAGGTTTAACAACTGATGGTTTTTCAACCATTTCAAGTGCATCAGCATTAGCTTGATCACTTTTGGAAGCTTAATTGGTAATTTGATTGAGTATATATTTATTAGCAGAGCTAGTACTTGATCTATCTGTTTTAGCCTATGTGCACTTATTTGTTATGCTGATTTGTGAACTGGTTTAACCATCAGTATACTGAGAATAGTGAACTATTGGTTTATATGTCTCTCTCGCTGAAAATGAATCCAAGAGGAGCAGTGAGGATAATGTAACTTAACAAAAATTGAATAATTCAGTTTAACTAATTGCTTAAACATTGTTTAACCTACTTAAATTTGGAAATGTGTATAGTCAAAATGGTTCTGAGCTCACAAGAACATTCCTTGAAACTCATGACAAATCTTCAGAGGTGAAATTTCTATTATAATTCCATATTGTACCATACATTTACATCCTATGAAAGTCAATAACATGTGTTTGTGTCTTTGTTTACTTGTGTCCTAACGATAGTCAATAATATATTTGTGTCCCATTGTTTTGTGGAATGTCAAATTTTCTATATATTCTATACCTGTGTGCATTTATGCATGTTATTATTTGCCGATATCTAGTGCTTATGAGACGTATTCATTGTCACTTATTTGTACTATTTGACTATTTGTGAATCATTATTCCCTTAGCAAGCGCATTCATGTCGTTGGAGGTGTCTAAAGATGACATAATCTACCACGGTTTCTTGTGTCTTTGAGATGTTTTTGAATGACCTAATGATATCATAACATATGTTATCTAGAGAGTGGTGTAAATACGTTAGGATGTAGTGACATATACTGAAAATAACTCGAGTTCATTGTAGTATCTATGACATGTTACCAACAAACTTACAATCTTTATTATCGGGACCAGTAGCGTCCCAGAAAAGTTCTCCTGAAAATACTGTTGGAGCTAAACTTCTAATCTCAATTTGGATGACATTGAGCTACAAATTGCCAGTTTGGTATTTTTTATTCAAGTTTGTTTTGACGATCTTTCTCTGAGTGATTATTTATCATTTGGCCTAGACAGACGCTAGAAATATTTGGTTTTCTTATAAGAGATTACCCTTTAACTAGGTAAAAAGTTTGTTATCCTGGAATTTCACCCTATATTAGAATCTTTAATTTATTATGAAATATATCAAGTTTCTTTCTTCTAGTGTTGAGTTTTGCTGCAGGCTTTATCTTGATATCTAGTTGATCAAATTAACGGAACATCATTCTCTTCGTGATTAGTTCTCCATTTCTCTCCTTATTCTCTTAGTGCGAGCACAGTTGTCTTGTCATCCTAATTCACATAAGATGCTCGCTAGTTATATTACATCAGTATTTAGTAGCAATCTAAAGAGAAGTTTGATCTGTTCTTATCCCTTAAACTGCTAGCTAATGGCTTTTTCTGCGTACGCATTTGCAGCTACTCTTAGATCCTTCAAACGTTTCATGCTTGTTGCAGTTAATTTGTTTGTTTTAAGCATGTTTGAAAGGAGATCTTGGCCAGCTTCCTTACCTCACAGTTCCGCATCAACATGATTAATCTGGACGTATCTTTTCAGGCAAAATCAGTTATTTACTAATTGGCGGAGGAGAAAGCTGCTTTTCTACATCACAGCAACAAACTTCGCCAAGAATTGGTATGAGTAGCATTACTTTCTTTTTCTCATTCTTGTGCCTCCTAAAACCCCAATACTTGTAGAAAGACCACGGAATTTGCTATATCTATGAGCAGTTTCATATGCAAGTCCTTCTGCCTGCCATTATTTATGTCCTCCTTTCACCTGAATAGTCGATTCATTCTAATGGTTTAAGTGAGAGCCAGTTGAACTTTCACACACAAACAAGTATGCCTCGATCTCAAGCAAGTTGGGGCATTTTGTATCGTGAAGATTCATTATAAAGTGAATAACTTTATGCTGGCCGTCAACCTATTGCAACCATCCTCTTTTATCCGTGTTGTTTGCTGAACTTGCATAAACAGACTATTACTCTGCTTTGTATAATTTGGATTAGAGTGGCTGGTATCTTTTAGTTACAATGACTTACTTTTGAAACAATGATGTTTAGCTCTTCTAGTGCTTTTGCTTGTTGTTCCTTTTCTAGGAACATAAACATGCTTTAGAAAATAATTAGATTTATTTGTTAGAATTCAAATGTTTAGAAATCCTGAGCCGAGGGTCTATCGGAAATAGCCTTTCTGCCTTCACAAGGTTGGGGTAAGGTCTGCGTACACATTACCCTCCCCAAACTCCACTTGTGGGATTACACTGGGTTTGTTGTTGTTGTTGTTGTTGTTGTTGTTGTTGTTGTATAGGCTTTCTTAATTTTTTTCACCTAATCTGTTGTACAATACTCCTATTTATTGCAACTCCAAAGATCTCTATTTAAGGCAAGAATATTGTGTAAGAAAGAGGGATGTCTCTAGGAAGTTTGTGTGATTTTGTAAAGCTGATCCCACATCCTTGTAGATCGTCGCCAAAGCTGTAGTAGTAGGGATGTCTCTAGGAAGTTTGGATTTGACAGGAATTTTTTGTTGATCATCACTCATCTGCACAGTGTTCCAATAGTTCATTAGTCTTAGTAGATTGTGCAGCAGATTGTGCCACAATAACATTTAAGTTTTGGTCGATTCCTGGAAGCAATCTGCTAGCTTATAAGTAATATATCTACTATTTTATTGATGTTGCATCTTTTTTTAAAGAAACTAGAACCGGGTATTAAACTCTACAAGTTCTCTTTTCAATTACAAGTGATAATAACTAGATAAGTACCAAATTGTGGTAGATGTTTGTGTTGTTGATTGCCTTATCTCAGGTTTGTTGAAACAGTGAATCATTTTGTTAAATATTCTTGCAACCAAGGTCTGTCAATTACGTTTTTAAAATCCTATTGCATTTTAATTATGCCATTTCTCGACACAATTTGTCGCTTGGATTCTACTTTGGTGTCTTATTGATGCAAATGCTATTGGCAATGACCTCTTAAATGATTTTCTGGAATTCATTTATTCGAACTCTCATTTTTTTTCCCTCTTTGGTTTTTTAAGTTGTGAAATGTGAAAGAAGACGTCGAAGATTCATGTGCAACCAGTAAAATTGTTAAATATGAAGTAGAGCTGCTTAAAACTCTATTCGTAGCATCAGAAGGCTTTCTATTAGGGCATGATGCGACTGTCCAACTATTCTACGCAATGGTAGCTTGTTCTTATCAACAGATAATCGTGTACTTTGTCTAACCGAATCTGAGAAAAGTACAGGATCTTTTTTATTTCTGCTAGTAAAATCTAATATTTTCTTCAGAAGCCAATAACAATCGGTAACCATATGGCTGTTGTCCAAACAGTTTGAGTCCCCATATACTGCAACTCGACCCTCAACAACCTCCAAAAGACCAAGAATAGGTGAAACTATCTGCATTCATAAAGTATATTGAGTTAGATAGAGAGCTCAACTATTACTTAGAAAATTGATAGGAATGCTAATATTATTGGCATAATCTTCATTGGATAATGTATAGTTTTCCCAATGTCCTTTTGTGCAATTTAAAGCAAGCAACAACAGACAATTATTTGTTTAAGATATTGAAGATTGAAGTACAAGTCTATGTTATAACAAAAAGCATACTTTCCTTCAGTTACCTACCAAAATAGCAGTACAATTATCAAAGCTTTATGAAATAAAGTCGATTTCTAGAAAACAACTTAGAGAGGCAGACAATAACGGAAGGGGGTTGGACTAACTGTAACACATTGTGTTTAATCTAGTGTAAAATGAAGGGGGGGAGGGGGAAGACAATAGATTTCAAATAAAGGGCTACTTAGATTCTAATATTGTATTGAGGTTTTAAACCTGTTTTTCCCTCTGTTCTTTGTCCTGCTCTAAATCTCTTAGGAATATTCTCATTGTTCTTCCGGATATTTCAAAGGCAAATAGTGGAAATTGTTAGATCTATGTTAGTTCTTTTCACTTATGGTGTTACCAACCTAGAATGAGCACCGTTTACAGCCTTATAAAGCCTTGACAAGGCTGTAGTAGTAGGAACATCATCTGTAGGTTTAGATTGACTCTTCACCACCTTTGAAACATTACCTACTGGATTAACTGGACCTCTATTATTTTCAGTTTTTGCGACCTGCTGCTGCCCAATGTTTCCATCAGTTATTGTAGTGTCAATATCTCCATGCAACTTCCTTTCTGTATCCTGTTCATTACATTGCAGAACAAATATACCATCGAAAGAAATGGTAAATTAATCAATGACATGATAATAGGAGGGGTCCGAGGAGAAAAGGTATGAAAATATAAGAGGCAGGTACATATTTTAATTTGCAGGTTAGCCAGGCATATTTTCTTTTTTTTTGTTCTGAAGGACAACTTATATAGTAGGGTTCGGAAGAAAATTGTCATAAATTTACTACATTTATACCTGTGCAGCAGTATCTTCGGCATTGTTAATGGAAACAGCCTCAGCGAAAACCTAAAATTAAAATACAAGTTTAGGTTAGGCTAGTATGAAACCTAGAAATTGCATCACAACTAAACAAAAGTGCATATGTTAATTATACCAATCTGAAAACTACCTGTATGAGGAGAATGGCAATGAAAACAAATGTGAAAATCTTCATGTTTTCTTGAGAAGAATATATATGGCAGATGATTTCTTGGTTTAGAATTATATGACTGAAATGGGGAGGGGCTGACCTTTTTATAGGCATTCAAGTACAATTTGGCAAGACATTTATTGAGCCTTTTGAAAGTTGATCACATGAAGATATTATAATTACAAAATCACAGGCAATTGGAGTTGAGTGCTTTTTCTTGGAAAATTTTTTTGATGATTTGATTTTCAAGTCTTTTTTGGAAGTTTTCTCTGACTTTAGGTATAGCTTTTAGCTTCAGTGTGAGCTACACAGCTGTGGATTCCTTTGCTAGATTGAAAATAAATGGCCCCCTTAACAAAAGGGAAAACTAGATCATAAGGAAACAAGCTAGCTGGGAAAGAGAAATTGTACAGTTTGCCAGTTAGCATATTGTTGTATCTTCTTTAATTCTTTTTATTATCACTGCTTCGTGGATACTTGGATGCTTAATTGACTTGAGCACATATTACTATGTTGTAATTTTTTACACCGATTTTTTACAATCTACTTAAATATCTTCACTCCACAGGATGCTTGGAGGACAACACTTCTTCTAAGAGTGAAGGAAACATTGAAGGCTAAGGAGCTCGAAGAAGATGATCTATCTTAATTTGTTCCCCTTTGACCTATTGTAAACTACTAGTACATCCTTTATGTGATTTTATTTGTACTGCTTTCAAATATGATACTTTAGTTCTTTGTATTAACAAGATATCAAGTATTTGGTTTATTTTTCAATGTTTTTGAGCGTGTATGAAAGCATATAAATAATTATTACTATTCACGTAACTTAAATTTTCATCATATTTATTACATTTTCATATTAGCGAAGAAAAATGTGGTCGTTAAAACTCTTTAACGACAGGTTTCTCAAATAGATAAATGACTATTAACGAAGAGAATTTTTGTTGTTAAAAGTAATTATACAATTAACGAAGGGAATATCGGTCGCTAAAAGCACTTGAATTGACTTAATACATTATTGTCGTTAAAGACTTTTAACGACCGGATAACAAATTAGCGAGGGGAAAATCCTGTCGCTAAAACGCATGTTTAACGACCAAAAGTTATGCCGTCGCTAAAGATCCTTTAACGACCGGATTGTAAACTGGTCGTTAACTTTTAACGTCGGGACTTTTAAAGACCGGTGACGACCGGATTTTTTCCGGTCGTTAATAACTTATAACGATCGGAATTGGTCTTTTAGAGACCAGATTTCCCCTCGCTAAATCCCCATTTTCTTGTAGTGTTTGGCCTACACTACTTACCTCATATCCAGAATGGATCCTTTGAAGTACATCTTCCAAAAGCCAATGCCCACTGGCAGGCTCGCAAAATGGCAAATCTTGCTCACAGAGTTTGACATCGTCTATGTCACTCGCACCGCGATGAAAGCACAGGCTTTGGCAGATCATTTGGCAGAGAATCCAGTTGATAATGAGTACATGCCACTTAGCACATACTTCCCAGACGAAGAGGTCAACTCAATAGAGGAAGTGGTTCCAGACGATCACCCTGTATGGAAAATGTATTTTGATGGAGCTGTCAATATCAAAGGAGTTGGGATCGGGGCAATACTCATCTCACCTATTGGACATCATTACCCTGCAACGGCCCGACTTCGGTTCTTCTGTACCAATAATACGGCAGAATACGAAGCTTGTATCATGGGTTTGAAAATGGCCATCGATCTGGATGTGCATGAACTATTGGTTATGGGAGATTCTGACTTGCTTATCCGGCAGGCTCAAGGCGAATGGGAGACTCGAGACATCAAGCTTATTCCGTACAGACAATGCGTGCAAGACTTGAGCAAAAGATTCAAATCCATCGAGTTCAGGTACATTCCTAGGTTTCACAACGAGCTAGCCGATGCCTTGGCTACTTTAGCCTCGATGATCCCTTATCCAGGCAACGCTCATATTGATCCGCTAGAAATCCAAGTTCGAAATCAACACGGTTACTGCAATACAATTGAGACAGAACCAGATGGTGAACCATGGTATCATGACATAAAACGATTCCTGAAAATGAGAGAATATCCAGAGCATGCCAAAGGAGATCAAAAAAGAACTTTAAGGCGGCTCGCCAGTGGTTTCTTCCTGAATGGGGAAATTCTGTACAAAAGGACCCCAGATTTAAACTTGTTGAGATGCATAGATGCTACAGAAGCAGAGCAGATCATGGGTGAAGTGCATTCAGGGGTGTGCGGACCTCACATGAATGAATATGTTTTGGCGAAGAAGATTCTGCGGGCGGGGTATTATTGGCTTACTATGGAGCGAGATTGCTTCAATTTTGTTCGCAAGTGTCACCAATGCCAGATTCATGGTGATTTGATTCACTCGCCTCCTTCAGAGTTGCATTCCATGTCCTCTCCTTGGTCTTTTGTTGCTTGGGGAATGGATGTTATTGGTCCAATCGAGCCAAAGGCTTCAAATGGGCATAAATTCATTTTGGTTGGAATGGATGTCATTGTATCCCTTGATGAGCTCTATCTATGTATGTAAAAATTAAGTGGAGAAAATGGCTCAATATTCTCGAATTTATGAAAAAAGTTATGGCTAGGGTTTCGTTCTTTTGAAGATTTGTGGCGTTTGAGAAGGATTCGAGGGATTTGGGGCTTGGATATGGGAAGAGGAGGAAGAGACGAAGAGGGGGTGAAATTTTGGTGGCGTTTGGAGCTTGGCCGCCGCCGGTGGGCAATTCCCGGCGGCGGCTCTGGGCGGCGGAGAGGAAGAAGAGAGAAGAAGAGGTCTAGGGCTTGGGCATGTATGGAAAATGAGGCAAAAAAATCAGATTTTCTAAAATTATATACTTCCAATGACATCAATTTTGGACCATTGGATCAAAGAAAATAGGTGGCCAGGATTTGATCTTGATTACTTAACCAAAAAGACGTAGTTTCAATCTAAAACTACGTCGTTTAGACTATCTCCTGGGAGCCCCAATTGGACCGGATCAGTAGACTCTTTGGGCTCCTAATTTTGGGCCAATTTTGGTTCAATTTTAGTCAAAATACACTAGTCCAATCCTTTAACCCCCATATCAAATTATTTAACATAATCTAATTTAAAAGCCTAAAAATACACACATAAGAATTCTAAAAATTATAATGTAAAGAAAGAAAAAAAAATACTTGAGCAAAAATTAGGCATTTACAATGAGTATACGTCAACTAACGTAAGAGTACGACTTGGACGTGGGGACAAAAGCGACATCGTTTAAGACTTGTCTTCACTAGGAAAACGTTACCTATTTTTGTATCTTTTTGATTATTTCGAGGGAGGTCTCCTACTATATAAGGGAGACCTTCACATTGTAAAAAGGGGGATTCTAGAATAATACAACTCTCTCTCTCTCTATCTCTATCTCTAACGAATACTTTCTCTTGAGTTCATATTATCATTTTACACTATTGGATCTACAACAACAACTTCATTTTTCATCTCTAGGTCTATTATATTTGATTACGATTTACCCTTTCCTACTTTTGATTGTTTTTAAGCTTGCAAAGTACATCGATAACTTTTGAGCCAAACAATTTGTATACACGATATATTATTAAAGAGATAGAATTAATCTCTCCACTTAACTATAGGTATTGGGTTCGACTCTAAGAATAGAAAAAATATTGGAAGAGAACGTTTTTTTCTTTAATGGATTTCTTTACTTTTTCAACTAGTATAATGTTAATTAAATGAGACGTTTAAGAAGATATAATATGTTATGAACAATAAAAGAAGAAGAAGAGTATTGCAGAGAAAAGTAGAGAGAGGGAATTCTTATTGATATGGGGTGAATTACAACGGAATAGAACCCTCTATTTATAGGGAGAGGGTGGCTTAGCCAACAAGCAATGAACCCTAGAATCTCTCCAAATATAGACATTCACCATAAATACAATTCTATTTATAACATAATAGGTAATTTCATGGATAATCTTATTTAAAGAAAAATGCGTGCTAACTCGAAGACCTGAGATCTTAGCTTAGTAAGATGGAAGGAAACTTTTCGAGCTTTCTTTGCCAACGATGTATTAGTCACATTATAAAGCTCGTTAAGCTTAGCTTCCCTCTTCGTCCTTTCATCTTATTAGGTGGAAAATATAATCGGTTCAATGAAAGGTTGTTTTTTTTTGTAGTTAGCCCTTAATGCCTCGTGGAAAGTGCTCCGGTTCCGGTCCGGTAAAGTAAACCTCGCTTCATTGTCAAGGACTTTTCTCTTCAGCTTTTTCCGCGCAAGTTCGTTCTTACACATAAGAAACACATAATGAGCATATTTTATAGAGAAATTTTCCAAGTAAAAAATCGATGAGATTATAGTTTGCCTAATTACCATTTATAACTACTATTTAATTATTATCAGCTAGATCATTGAGAGTCGAACTCAAGACTTCTACCTACTAAGCGAGTGCTCTAACCAATTGAGCTATAAGCAGAGGCGGACGCACGTTAGTCGAAGCGGTGTCATCCGACACCGCTTCACCGGAAAATTATTAAATGCAATATAAACAGTGTTCCAAAAGCGGATATATAAATAAAATGACACCATTTGATAAATAATCTTAGTTGGTCTAGCGGGCAGCGCATCCATTTTCATGAAAACGGTTGGGGGATCGAAAGTGCGAAACCACTCGATGAATTTTTGCACATTTTAAAAGTATTTTTAGTTTAAAATTTAGATTATGTGGGGATCGAACTATGTCTCTAAGCATCAAAGTGGTAAAAACTTAACAAATATAACATGCAATTATTGTAGTATAACTGAAATGGACTTAAAACTATAATTTTGACAAACAAAATTTACTCCACTTTCTCTATTATTTACAATTTCTGAGTCTCAACTTTTTATTTTTCATATCGTTACAATATTTATTTTTTAGTAATGACACCGCTTACAAAAACTTCTGCGTACGCCCCTGGCTATAAGAGTTGTTGTTTTCTTATTTCAGTTCAAATAATTGATATCATGTTTCAATACTATATGTGGATTTGTATAAAATTCAA